AAACTTAGTAAGTAACGTAAATAACGGTTACGTACGTTCCGTTAAAACGTACGATTGTATTGTAAGACAACTAACACGACTCCTCGCACTACAATTACGTCTCTCTCTCTCTCTCTCTCTCTCTCTCTCTCTCTCTCTCTCTCATTTTTTTCAATAAAGAAAAGAAAATTGTGGATCAAGCAAGGTCATGTAAGAAACAAGAACATAAGTTTTGCAATTCGCAGCAAGCCAGTATAGTGAGGAAACTCAGTCTCAGTACACCGTGCTGAAAGATTTAGACTCTTTAGTAGAATACACATCATTTGTGCAGTGCCCAGTACAACACCTGTTGGAAGGTGCGAGTTGGTTCAAGTGGAAGGCTAAAAAAGAGCAAAAGGTAGGCCTAAAAGGACATTAGTAGTGAAGAAAGATATGGGGACTTATAGCCTCACTACGGGTATGGCCCTTGATAGAGCTCAGATTCAGCTACACGAATCCTGGTCCACCATTCTACTCTATCAAGGGTCATACCCGCAGTGAAGCCATAAGTCCTTACATCTTTTCTCACTACTTCTAACCATGTCTTTTTTAGCCTGCCCCTTTGCACTTTTTGAGCCTTCGACTTGATATAAAATTTAGATAAGATCCCTGAAACTCACTTGCATAAAAAGCATATGTCAATGTTCGCTCCATAATCCAGTAATCAACTTGAATTTCAGTTTGGATAATCATGCTTGGTTATAACAAGGACTTAATAATGTAAAGACAAGCATACAATGTGAGTAGTGCAGCAAGGACAATGCAATTATTCAAGTTCCCGTGGTGCAAAAGATAATAACCATGAACCATGATAGGAAAGAAAACAGAATAACACAAAAATATTGCATTGCTTTGCTGATAAGGTTAATCAATATATGATGTTCTTTATGTAGTTTATTATCACATGGCCACCAAGTCTACTATTGAAATACAAAAGCAAAAACAAGATAAAGTAATATTGCTTCTCTTACCACTCCCCAAGTGAAGCCAGAGTTACCGGTCAATGTTATAACATCTCCATCGCTTTTTGTATTTCCTTCCAAAAGTTTTTTCACTCCAGATTGTGTTAAACCATCCACATGGTGCAGCTGAAACAGATCATAATTAGAGATATGGAGGTTGTGAACTTGAATAAGAAAAAGGGGGCATCTAAAAACAACTCCGCCTTCTCCAAATGTTATTACAAAGACCTCCATGTTTTTCAATGAAGATGCAATTTGTTCACACTATCATCCAATCAAGCTTTTATAAATTGACACTGTAATATACTATCCTTCGCAAGTCGTCGTCATCATCATCATCCAAGCTTTATCCCAATTATTTGGAATCGGCTACACAAATCATTTTCCATCATTCCGCTCTATCAAGGCATACCCTCAGTCAGACCATTAAGTCACCATATCTTTCCTCAAGTACATTGTCTTTCCGCAAGTGTACTTTGTAAACTATAGATACTCATGTTCATCTAAATCTTTACGAGAATTTCAGCCCCTTGTCTTTTAATTTAGTTGATTTTTTGTTCTTTCACTATTTTAATCCCCTCACTTTTTATCATCTGAGTGGCCACTGTATATCAGAATGAGAAATGCGGTCCTACAAAATTTTTCCAGCAAAACTGATTACTGGTAAATTTGCCCCAATCAGGCAAAGACCACTGAGATTCAAGGCTTAAGCTGACTCCTTTGCCCAATAAGTTAGAAAGAGGTACATTCTGATGGTGATTCAGAATTTCAAGAACTGAAAATTATATGATAGTGGTCACAAACAGCAAACAAGAGGATGCATTTTGTTTTAGAGACAGCCACATTGATTTTACATATAAGCAAAATACAGAGAAATCAAGCCTTCCCTAAAGATTGTGCATTGAAGAAAATTTTAGAAGTGATACATCATCAGACAATCATGACATTCGATCATCATCATACAAGCCTTATCCCAATGATTTGAGGTCGGCTATATGAATCATGTTTCTCCAGTCTTTTCTATGAAGGGTCATGTCCTCAGTAAGATCAAAAGTCACAATATCTTTTCTCACTACCTCTATCGACGTCCTTTTGGGTCTTCCCCTTACCCTTTTAGAGCATTCTACTTTAACCAAATTGCACCTCCTAACCGGTGTTGTATTAGGTCAATGCTGCACACGGCTGGCCCACATAAGTCTGCTTTCACTCATATTATCTCCTACTAAAGCCCAATCATGACATTAGATATCTTCCTTTATTTCAAAAGGGGGGAAAAGAAAATTTGCAGTAACCTTGCCCAGACCTCCAAAAAAAGTCTAGCTGTAAAGCTTCGTTACCATTTTTCAACTATTCATGGGACCATGCAGCAAGAAAAACTGCATTCTTGAAACAAAATTTAAATCCATTCTCCATTCACATTCTTCACTGAGTATGTGAAGATCACCCAATTGTGTTTGTTTTACACAGAATTATTCAGGATAATTAAAACATAGCATCAACATCAGTTTTAAATTAATTGATTATTTCTGTTAGCATGCAGATTCAGACACATTAAACACAAGAAAAGGCTCAATCAAAAGGAAAAAGGAAAACACAGGCCACAAGAAACTGCAGAACCAAAAGAAAAGAAACGACAATCATTTCCAAAAGTGCACACATATTTTGGGTGTTCCAGAGAATGTGAGTTTAATTGCTTGTGTGCCTAGCATTATATTCCAGAATTCAGACCAACAAACTAATTTTTCATTCATCATTCATAATTTCAACTGCTAGTAATCGACTACAAAGCAACTTAAATTTTTACTTTACCATAAAAGTAGAAATATCATACCCAAGAGTTCAAAGTAAATTCTGAATTTTTCTTTTTTTTTTTGGTCATTGAATCAAGTTTATTACAAAATAGTCTCACTTATATATATATTCCTACATTATGAACAAGAACATGTTTTCAATTTCTCATAAGAATATGTATCATTTTCTCAGCATATAACCTAATATTAGAGAGAGGTATAATATCTTATCTGAGGAATGATAGAGTAAGAAACTAAATTTACCGGTCACCATTTCAACATAACTTACAAAAAATGTGTTAACCCTATAGCAAATAAAAGCTGGATTATCAAATCTGTCTGTCTGAGAATCCTTATGGCAAGAAGTTATTTTCTGCTAAGTAACTAAAAATAGTTAGACTATATACCATGTACGAGAATGATTGAATCTCCACACAATTATAAACTCATGTGTGTCTGTGTATGTCATATAAGAACGATGAATAACTTACATTTTTACCAACCCCAATAGTAGGAAGGTCTGCCATGACACCAAGGTGAGAAGCTAAACCAAAACCTACAAAAAGGTGTTACATACTTCATTTAGCAGAGTCCATGGTGATGCCAAGCTAAATATAATAGAGGAACAAATAGAACCACTCCAAATCAATCACCATCCCACTCAACCCCAACAGAAATTGAATTTCAAGATCATAATAGTGTCATAAAAGTTGCTTTTGCAGTGCAGCCCCTAAAATGCCCAGGGCTGCCTTTCACTTTAATTAAACAGAAAGAATTTAGGGCCACTACAGAGGTAAAAATCACATTAGATCCACTGAAAGCAGTTAGATGGTGAGGCTTACAACACTATTACATGATCTTGGATGCCAACTTCATATGGAGATATCCTCAATGCAACTGTCCATCCACGCCATTGAGTGGAGAAAACAAGGTAAACGGAACCAACTAACATCCACATATGTGACATGACAAATCTTCTATATATGTCTGTAGTTTTAGTTTACTTGTATATACTTGTGACTAAAGGTTATTTCATTCTTTTGTATATTATGGCATTTTCATCATGTTTGACCTTGTAAATAAAATTATAAGTACCTAACTGTTTTGAGGGAAAAAGTGATTTGATTATGTCACTGAGATTCCTTTTTTCTCTCCATTTAACAGCCCCCTCATATTCTTATATGAAATCCAATCATATGCAATAATGCAATGACTCCAACCACAACTGAAAATTTGAGCCATAGAGGGTGGGGGAGAAGGGAAGCTTCTTTTTCTTATGCTGGGGCATGTGTGTGTGTGATGGGGGGGAAAGAGGACTATGAGAATCACACTTACGAAACGAAATTATAGTTATAAAGTTCCTTCAACAAGCAAATTATAGCCATAAAATTTGAAGGCTGGGAATTGAGCCAAAAAATTATTTCCCATATGAATGTGAAATATGTAGCAACTGGAATCATTGCTGTGAATGAGCTCTCAAAATGCAAGTGTAAATGTTTTCCTAATATAGAAGGTATTTTCTCCATATACTTAATCACATCTAGAAATGTGTTAGAAACTTAGCAAATCATTTCAAGGCGACAATGCAACAGATATGTAAAAGAAGCAAAACAATCACAAGAGTGTAGTCAATCTCAACATAATGATGTTGTAATTGTGTCTCCCCAAAGCATCACATGGCATATGGGCATGTAGTTTGCACACATACCTCGGGGATGAAGTAAGCCATTCCCATCAACCATCAACAACTGTTCGCAATCACACATGCTCAACAAGTTAGGCTTTGCAATTCTTTCAAAACACCTCAACATAAAATTTATTTTGTTAAACTGGATAGAATAAAAAGAATTTAACATCAAGATGGAAATTTTACAACCTCATTTGTGAAGTAAAAAGCTAGCTCCTTAAAAACATCAGTATAGAATAGAGAATCATGAAAAAAAACTTCTCAAGTATAAACAGAAGTGGCTTCCAGGACCCAAGGAATTAATCTAAGCATCTTCTACCCATTGAATTTTGCTTTTCTTCCCTTACTGTACTTAGAGATGCCTAAATCAACATGTAAACTTTACTAAACTAACATGAACCAAAGATGTGTTCTAGAAGTACAGGAATATGAAACATGATGGTTACCTGGGGATAATATAGCTTAGTGTGAAGCTTCATTTTCTCCAGAAGCTCTAGTAGAACAGGACCCTGAAACAACAAAAGCAAATGCTTATATCCATCCTTTCCATGCACATATAAACAATAAACGGAGAAATGATGAAGCCAGTCTATATTTGGAAGACAAGTCCTATTATACTAGGAAGGTGTATGATTTGGCTCATGAGTAAATGATAGTTAATCATGTTATCAGTCCCAACAAACATACCCCACAAATTCAATTTACCATTGGTAAGTAACAAGCACATTATGATGTATAAAACTGAGGCTCAACCACAATTTCTAAGAGGCACAGATTAGACCATTGAGAGAGAGAGAGAGAGAGAGAGAGAGAGAGAGAGAGAGAAGTAATTA